ACACGGCGGGGAACAAGAAAAATATTGTAATATAGAGGAATTCGTTAAATATGATTTACTCGTGAATTGCAATGAAAGTGGTCATGGATCTCAAAAATAAATTATTGTACAGAAAATTTTTTTCAAAAGCAAGTTCGCTATATGAGAGTTTCATGGTAGGTACTTACACTTTACAGCCAACGGGAATTTGTATATCACTTTTTAAGCAATTTGAAAAATAGTACTTATTTACAATATTATATACTTAAAATCTAAATAAAAATAATAAATCTTATTATACACCTAATTTTTTTTCATGTTTTTATTGTAAATTAATAARTTATCAATTATATCGATATAAAATTATAAAATAAAATAAATACAAGTGAAGGATTTACAAGGATTTACAAGGGAATACATGAATATATTATGTACTGTGCATTTTTATATAATATATCATGTATATGTAATATAACATGATATTAATATATTATACATTATATATATTGACATATTGTGGAGAGTATATAGCAGTAATAAAAGAATCACTTGAGTGATTTTCAAACAAAAACAGTTACCTACTATTAGATAGAGTATGGTCGTACAGACCTTGAATATTGGAAACGTCATAACAATATAACATTCCATACTGACCGCAACAAAACCTATTTACGATATAATCATGATAATATATCTAACCTGCTTTAAATTAATTATCCTAAAATTTAAATATTTGGAGTAGCATAAACTCCCACTGACCTGTTCACCCATGACCCTTATATCCCCTACACTATACCTATACTGACATATTAACCGTTAATACTGTGTAAAAAACTTTTTCATTATTTAAGCTTATAAAGTTGAAGAAAAGTCAAAACGTATGTATATAAATTTGAATGTCAAACATGTTACGTTGACAATGTCTCATACTCTTCTGAGTAATTCCATTGAAAACACGTTTACCAAAATTTTTACGGTTTTTGATAGTATTTCTTGATTTAGAGTTAAGTATTTTAGTGAAACCATTGAACAAAATCGAAAAAAATATCTCTWTAAATAATTATTCACAGACTCGAAATTACGATTTCACGAAAACAAATCTTGAATGGCGATTTTTTTTAATTTTACGTTCTAAAATCTATTCAGCAAAAGATAAGAATAATAAAAAAACATAATAAAACCAATACAATATTTCGTTGTATTATTTTTATACGCTGTGTATATTATTATCATAGTTCATAGGGTATTTTATGTAACTACCCTAGCTATAAATTACTATTTGAGATGTATAAAATATGTATAATACTATTAATTTTTAATTGATATTGAAACTATAAAACATAAATAAACATAATATATATCATACTATCTAAAATCTATTTCATATATATAATCAAATGTGTCTTGGCTGACTGACTGATCAATGTAAAGCTTAAAYTGATAAAATGATAGCTGAAGACTAGAAGGTATTTTTATGGTACCTTCGTATCAATGTATCATAAATGTTGGAGTAGGTAGGTAATACACTAAAATGCATTTATGACCTCGATTAATGAATCCCTAAATCCTTAAATCAAATTTATGTTTGTAGCTTAAAATAAATACTAAAAAACTTCTAGAATAATTTTGAATGGAAATCTTATAGAGTATTCTGATTAAAATTAATAATATATACCTAACTAAAACGTTTATAAAGTGTAGTTTAAATCTGCAMGTTAAAAATATACCAACTGCTATCTCTAGTCYACGACTTGCTCATCTATAAGTCGAAATATTTCACAAAGCGAAGTAMATCAATTCACTTATGATTTGACTATTCGAGGAACCTATAGTAAAATTGAGATAATATTATGAGATACGCCGTATAGCACTGTATTATATAATTTTTTTTTCCGGTCGATGATGCGCTATAACAGGGGTGGCAAACCAATATTGAACACTACATGCCAAAAATTATCTTTTTTTTTTCGAGTGTGCCATGAAAAATATTTT